CTTTTTTTCCAGTACCACTAAATATCTGATCTACTGGTACCTGCTAAAAGACAAAAAGCTTCCTGCAATGTAAGCTCAACCTGTAATGATTTCTAACCAAGGATAGAAGAACTCAAATCCTAGGGCAGTTATCACCTGTAGTAACTGTTATTCTGGTAATTTCAAACACTGAATGAATTGCAGTGAGCTTAAACAGGTTCATGTGACTGATGTCCCACATAACGCTCTAAAGAAGACCTATTGGGAAATGCTTTTACAGCAGTTACGTTTATAGCACATCTTGTGGGAACAAAGAAGGCATTACAAAACTGGCCTCCACAAGGAGTCTGCACAATTTATTTAATGAAAATAGAGATGTAGGCCATTTTTCAATACAGAGGGAACACAGATATCACAAAATGGAGCATTACAGTATCTAATATTTATGCAACAGATTGATCCCACGTGTATTTTGCAACCTCATTTAGGGTTTATGTTCTTTAAGTAACAGAAGAGAAAAAGCTTCATAAGAACAGGATTCACAGAACCCAACAAGTGAAAGAGGAAATCAGCTAAATTAGCCAGTATCAATATTGAGAAAAGGATGTTAGCTATTATGTTTTGAATCTTCCTGAAAGCTTCTGGGATCCAACACTTAAAACTCAGAATCTTTACTTACCTCCCCATCACAACAGTCCTCCCAAAATCTGCTGCATACTTTCTGTAATCATCCTTTACTCTCCATTCCTGGGCAACCCAACTTGTGTCTTTCTTATCTATATAATTTTCCTACTATGCTTCAAGGTATACTGAGCTAAAAATGCTCTACACTTTTTTGTTGAAGCTGTTCTGCATGGACAAATTAGGTAGGCATAAGAGAGACAAAAAAGTAAGAATCAGTAACCTACTAATGACGGTGGTCACCTCTAAGTGGGAAGATTTAAAATCCAGCCTGTGTTTCAGGCAATAAATGACACAAAATTCTTAGGAGGAAATAAATAAAAATAAATAAAAATTTAAAAAATCAAATCTTTCACCTCCAAGATGACATATCTAATTTTAGGACACACTTATCCTCATTTTCTCTCTGTGGCAAAGTGAATATTTAACTATCCCTTAGAGTCCAGAACAGTCCCATTAGGGGAGACTCTTTCTGCATCAGCTATAACCTGCCACTTGGTTCTTCATAAAGGAAGACACAGGTTCAAGTGAAGGAAAGGATGAAAACTAGGCATCACACTTGCTTGGATGAATCACTGAAAAAGTGTAGAGGAGACTCACAGCATACTTCTTCTAGACTCCCTGATGCAGCATTTTATGCTTTATGGTATGCTGAGTCCATGAAACTTAGGAGAGCAGACCTTTCTAGACCTGTGCTCTACATTGTGGCACTTAAATTGGCATTTGTGTCCTACAGTTTCCTTAGCACAGTGTTTGTTTCAGCTAAAGCCAACATAAAGTTCAGGAAATGCTGAAAGGGCTTCTTTGCATTCACAATTATAAACTCTTTAAATTCTATGAACATTTGCATGGAATCTAGTTTGCCTCTAGCAAGTCTGGCATTTCTACCTAAATAACTGAATTTGTGCTCCAGTATCTTCACACCCACAGAATCGCACACAAGCATATGTGTACACGTAGATAACCACGTACACAAAGAGACATAGACATGCATGCAGACACACACACAGAGTCACTGTTGACTATTTTCTGGTTAAATGTAATTCACAATTAAATGTTGTTTTCAGAACAACCTTCCAGGGATTCAGCTGTGCTGCTCAAACCTTCTTCACAGCTGAAGAAGAGACAAAACAAGAGCAGGTTTTTTTATTGAATTCATTTGATTTTTGTCTTTTGTCCTGCTAGCTATCAAAATTGTCAAACCAGCTTTGATTCATAAATAATGGCTCCATTATATTTACTGTGCCACCGGTCAGAGTACCTGAAATTTTAATTCACTTGTTCAGCTAAATTTCATCCTCAGTTCACGGCCATAAAATTCTGTATTGACAAACTTTCAAACCAACTTTGACTCTGAGGTATCTAGTCAACATTTTTCTTCTGTGTGGATATTAGTTTATTGAATAAGTGGCATCTGTTTTCCTCCACATCACTAGTGGAGTAGGTATTTCCTTTTGACAGCTTTGCACAATTTATGGGTTTGCACGCTCTAAAGAAAAATAGTACTAAGCAAAAAATTCCAATTCATTACCTCTTAGTACTTAATTAAGTTCATACACATTGCACACTATAGGTGAACCCTGAAATTACTGTGACAGCTACCGAGCAGCAAGCTAGATTATCTCTGGAAGACAAAGAGACTTTTAATTATCTTGACCTCATTTTTCCATCTATGATATTCATAAATTTTCCTTCTATTTTGTTGCCTCCATCAGATGTACCAAACCATTCTGAAAACAAGATTATATCCTTAGCTATTTCCTTTTATCTGCACATTTAGGCACCAAATGCTTTTACAAATAGTGAGGTCAAGCAATGGTTTATAACAGCTTACTTCACACAGGTGCAGATGAATTATGTTGTACAGGCTTCTCCTAATAATGGTTTGGTTTTGAAAATGATAACACCTTGATAAAAGAAGAAAGCGGTGGATCTAGCTATCAGTAGATACAGAAATAAAGAGAGCCTGGGCTTTACCTGTCGGGGTTCTGTGTACACACATGCATCTGTAAGAGGATCCGCTGGGTGAAAGTCTTAAAGCATTGCCCACATTTCCAAAGATGCCAGTCACTGAACTCAGAATTTAGTTGGCTTGTTGAAGTTGGGCTTGCAAGAACTCGTTGGTTTTTGACATTGATTTGGTTAAATCCTGACTCGATGGACCCAGACTTATCCAGGAGAGAAAAATTTCTGCTACACGGAGTCTGTGGAAATACTATGGATCGCTGTGGAGTGGCAGGGGATAGTTTGCTACTTTTATTAAATGGCTGTAGGATGTCTTGTCTGGCCATGGCCTCCATTACAGTCGAAGGGACATTCACTGGGAGAAAACAAGAAAAGTAAATAAGATCCTTTTCATGCCTTTTAAAAACTAATACAGTGCTGGGAGACACCAAAAAAATACCAACATCCATTTTCTTGACACTTGAATTAAGCAACTTCATTTTAACAATGCACAAAAAAACAGGCTTGAATGAGACAGTGATCTGAATGGATGATGCTCATTCTGTGACACTGAAATGAAAACTCATGCAAAGGGGTGTCTGAGACTGAAAGAACTCAGAGCAGCTTGACTGTGCTATACATTTATTGTACAATGGGTTTGTCAAATGAAAGAAAATGCTGCTGTACTTGTGATACTGTGACTCTGCATGTTGCAGTCAGCATGTCCAAGTGCTGTATCACAGAAAAGCATGAGTTTTGAGAGCATAGGGTAAATAATCCTTGCTCAGACACTCCTTGAGATAAAACAGGGCTTAAATATCAATAGGTCCCTTATCCTTTTAAAGGGCAGTCACTAAGGGTTTTATACTATTACCTCTTACAAAGAGTCACACAGCCAATACACTACAAAGCCAGTGACTACATCATGATTCATACGATTAAGGCTAAAAGCAGCTAGAGCACCACGAGATGATACAAAGTATAGGCAGAGATACCTTTGTGTTTCAATTTCCCATCCACAAAATAGGAACAAAAATTGTTTCTAGTCCTGTGAAAGACTTATGATTATCAATTAACTGTGACTTATGAGGCACTCAAATATCTCAGCAACAAATGAAATACACCCAATCTCACAAAGAAGTGTTTTAGTGCTGAATTTGGATGTTGCATGATAAGAAAGGCAGGAGGTTAAACATAAAGAAGGAAGTTGAACAGCTGCCTCACTGCATGGGCACTACCTGGATACCTAGATCATGCAGTAAACGAAGCAAAAGTCCTATGGAAAAATGGGGTCAGTTAATGAAAGATTGTATCACAGTGCAAAAAACAAGCATAATTTAGGCAATCTGGGCCCGGTACCTTCTCATGCTTTCCAATTTTGGCAAACTCAGCTTCATGAGATAATATTTTAATGGAGATTTTTGAATTAAATATGTTGTATGCATATGTCTATGCCTATATATGTTCACACATTAGATTACTGCCACAAAGTGTTTATGTGAGTTTATCCACACATAGGTACATTGCACCTACTAAGCAGGTGATTAGGAACTGCAGCTTTGTTTAGGTAAGCCATGATGATAGATTTCTAAGAGCAAAGATGAGAATTAAATTTCAGCTGTGAGCTGGTATAATCCAAAATTATTTAATATACAATGAAAATGTAATATAAACTAATGTTTTGGTAATATCTTAAATAATGCCAGTTACTTCACAGAGTTATGTTCTAATATCTTGCATCAATCATAATGACTCCAATATTATACTATTATATACTATTTACTTTAGTTAAGTTGAGCTACCTCCTAGGCTGTTCTTTTCTGGAGTATTTGAGGACTTGATTTCTAAGTAGAGAAATCATCCATGAGGCTGTCTATCACAAGTTTCTGGACATACAATACATCTTCTATGTCTCTTCAGTACAAGGGGCAATTTGCATACTTTCATTTTGCCCCAGTGTTCTTACACAAGAAGCATATAACTTTTTTTTTTTCAATTGTATTCATAAAAGTCCACAGAAGCACTAAGATCAGGATATTAAAGACCTAAGGAATACAAGCAGAGTTTGTACTGGGTAAAAAGATCCCTGTGTGGAGGATAAGCAGGTCTACTCTGAAGGCTTAAGGGACACTTAAGTCATATACCAGCCTGCAGCTGGCTCCATGCTGAGAGATTAATTTCATCTATTCATTTCAGTCTCCCTGTAGATGAAACTCTGGTTTCTCTCACAGCCAAATAGCAAGCGACCATATTTAGAGATTTTAGCCATAATGCTTTGTTTTTCAAATAAAGGTTTTGTAAGCTTCAGCTCATCAAAGAAAAAAAAATTCTATATTGTACACAGCAGAGCGTGAGTTTTATCAGCAGATATTACTGCCAGTAATTAGATTTCTTTTAAACTTTTCTCAAGCCCAACAGGATTGAAAACTCAAGATGAAAAGGGATGTTTATTTTTGACAGTTTAATCCCTGCTATCTTGTTGTTTTATTGCTGCATAGTTCAGCATTTAAGTTGCTACAAGTCACAAGTTCATCCTAGCATTGCTGGTTAAGTGTCCAAGTACCTGACATGCATAACTGCACACTTCCAAACATCTCCATACCATGATTTTGCACAGCTTAAGTGTACCATCTTCAGAGTTTTACTTTGCACACATCAAGCTTACCTTAAATATATAACCACTTTCATTTAATATGTCTTAAAATACTCTAGGAATATAACTAATCATGTATTAAACAGGAATTCTGGCTTACACATGTAGAAATGCAAGGAAGAACTTACAATTTTCATCTTGTGCAATGCACTGGAGAGGGATTCCAAAGAAAGATGTGTAGCTGTCATTGTACCATACCAACAGCTCGGTGCCTCTGGGGATATCTATACAAGCCCGATAGAATATATTTGACCTAATCAAGAGAAAAAAAAAAAAAGCCTAATTTAGGAATATAGTGTTGTTCTCTTATCATACACAGCATTACAGTGGAAATCCATTGTTTCAGAAGCATTTCTGCAGATAACTAAATTAATAACTTACTGATTATTTTAAAGCCAAATCTATCATTAGTGAAGGACTTTGTCCCTGTAGCACAGAGAAACAAAGAGCTTACACTAAGGTTTTACAAGCACCAAGATATTATGAAAAGTCAGGTATTTTCTTTTAATGTCTCTTTTAAAGTGATTTTAGAATTACTACATTTTGTTCACATAGTACAGTCATCAGAGTGGTACATACAGTTCAGTAAGTTCAGCCATTTAGACATCCTTGCTTTTGTCATCTAAGCTAAAATTAACATATTTTAAATAGACAACAGTTCTTTCATTTGAGTAAGTTAGTTTAGCAAGAGGTTTGAAGTAGTGTGACACGGCCTTTCACTACAACAATATGGCACCAAAAAGAGAGATCTTGGACTGTTGAGTAAAATAGACTTTGGCTTAGGGAAATTTAAAAAATTAGGTTAATCTGAACATGTGACCATGAAGTTTTCCCCTGGAACATGAGGGTAACACCAATGATACTTCAGTAAGTATGAATTAGCATTCCTACAGATGTGATGTCTTATCACAAAGCTTTGTAGGAAAAGACTGTGGATATTCCTAGAACACTGAACTGGGAGCTGAGCAGAAAAAAAGGAAAAATCCTAGAGTCTCTACCATAAACCTAAGAGCATTATCCTGACCTTGCACTGATGTAAATAGCTTCAGAGTGATACTTCCACAGTTAACAGATTTACATTAGGCCAAAATTTGTGTAAGATCAGAATCAGACACAAGATAAAATAAAAATGTTATCAGTTTGTACCATTAGGCTTCATATGAAACAGTAAAACACACTCCTATGAGATGGATAGAAATTCAATATATACAAGAAGAACACTCCACTATCACTGAAGGATTACATACCAAAATGATACAGCCAAAGTACTAAGATATTACAATTTTTTTATAACAGCTTATGTAAGGCAGAAAAACATCTATAGACCAAAAATAAAAAAAATGTTAGGCCTCAACCAGTTTTCTGAGTGAAGAATTGCTACAACTGTTAGCCTGAAGTTCAAGATAAAAGTGTTTAAGGTTGGTAGGCCTTAAATTTAGACTTTCTATAAAGAATTGGCTGTAGCAATGCAATTTGTTCCTTGTATAACACTGCAGACATAAAGAGAATCTTTTACCACATTTTTCATGGCGGTGAGATATGCACTTGTCAACATATTTTGTCACCGCAAAGTGGCTCTTGGCAACAGGATCATAAAGATCAATAAAAAAGTGCAGATTCTCAATATTTTACTAGCAGCTGCAAAAATTTCATTTATCTTGTTATTCTCCTCACTTATTGCCACCCTGTCTCAGGAGGGCACTGCTAGCTAAGCAGAATGGTTTTCCTACCCCTCTATGAATATCTGACAAAAACTCTCCACTTCGTGTCTCCCCCTCTCCTTCTTTCCTTCTCCTCCTCTTCTCCCTCTGCTTCTTCCCAGAGCTGCATATTTCATTAATTCTTTCCACTGTCATAAAAATGAAAATCAGAGCCATGCTATAAATTACCAGCATCTTCTAACTTGAGAAAAATTGAGTCTACTTTGTTCTTCACCCTTGTAACATTTCATCTCTCAGTTTGGCTTCCCTTAACATAAACACAGCAGCCCAGCAAATGAATGTGCTAAAACCAAATTACACACTTTGCTGCTGAAAGAGCAGAACTGTTTTTGAGCAATGGGTGGTCTGTGAGGCTTGGAGTAGGCAGGGAAAAAAAAGTGTAAGCATACACCATCCCTTATAAGCGTGCAGAGCTTCCAAAACTCGCAGAAATCTCTGCATGCTGAAGTACATCAAAGGGATTTTTCCCTTTTTGGATAATATTTCCTTTGCTGACATGTATTTAGTATTGTGGTTGGATGACTCATAAAGATAGCTTCATGGCGTCCCAAAGCAGTTGAAGCAGAACACATGCCAACAAACATTATTGTCAGCCTCAAAATAAAAACAAAACGTTCAGCTAAGGGTCAATCAATCAAGAGCACTTTGAAGAAAATTCCATTTAGATATTACAAATCATAACAGAATGAATTTAAACCAGCTGACTTTCTGTGAGGAGAACGTCCATGTACAATAAAAATTAGGCTGGTTTTTTAGTGTCCAACTTTTCTATTTTCTTACACTTGGATGCAGTCACTGGTGATGGATGCCAGTTTTTTAAATTGTGTTTTTGTAGTTCATTTTATAAAGATCTGAAGTAATCGAAAACAGATCAACAGAGGGAACTCTAAGTAAAAAGTAAAAACTCCATCATGAAAGGAGAGTTGTAAAATCCACTTAATATTGACAGACATGTAATGACTTTCTTATGCTCACTTTTCATTTAGGTTTGTCATCTATATATATATGTAGGCATATTTTTTTCCTTATTTATATATATGTGTGTGTGTGCACACACCACCACACTGAGAAATAGTTCACAAGATACTTACAAAAATACTCTTTCATCACAGCAATCTTTTTTCATTATCCAGTGTGTTTGTTTAAAATCCAATGGGATTTTAGCTATAGATATCAGGTAATTAAGGGTATAGTAAAAGATTTGTAATGTATAAAGAGGATTGTTATTTTTTTTAACTGCGGCATTATTTAGACAACTGGCCAGAGAATAAAAAAATTGAAAATGCAATGGAACAATTTTACCATTGTTAAATTGGAACCCTATGGGATAATAAAATTTTATATATATTTTATTTTAGCTTGCTTTTGTATGTTTTATTTTTAATTTTAAAGGTACTTTAAAATAAGTTTAAAATTCTTCCTCAAGAAAAGAAACTCCACTCTCTAAAGCTACTAGCCAAAACTGGGACTTCTTACTGTGACTAGCAAGCCCAGGGCATTCTTTGATGTGCTTCCTACCACATTTAATAAGGCCAAGCAGTTGCTTCTGATTCTGAGGCAAACGGTTTGTTTATAACTGAGATCATGTATTTATGTAATGCATTGTCTGGGTTTTCTGGATCTGTATGTGAGTACAAAGCAAAATGGACCATAATTTTTTCACATTTTTCTTCACATTTTGACCTTCTCTAGTCAGCAATGTAAGAGGCACAAGCACTAACAATCTTGGCTGGCAGGTGCACACATAAGCTTTAGGTGTATACATCTCATGACTGACTCTCAGAAAGGCTTTGGGTTCAAAACTCCTTCCATTTTCCCCCTTCCTCTGGCACATGCATCTTTATTAAGGGCAGAAGGTTGCTTGTGTTGGCTTGTTACTGATCAGACTGTTTGAAAACGTGCAGAGGGCTCTGTGCATGTGGTGGTTGCACCAAGTGGCACAGGGTTGTACTTTTTCCCAGGAGCTCCAAACCTAGCATGCTTACCACAAGGGACTCGGCTTAGAGCAACTGAAGTTAAACCCATCCTCACAACACTCTGCAGCTTTTGCATTGTCCTAGATGAGCACACTCAAAAAAGCTCTGCAACTGTCTTTGCAATCAAAGGCAACTGGTGACAGCTACCGTCTGACTTTTCACTAAAAATATTTTCACTGTGTTGGATTGAACAAATCAAAATGTACTTTACCTGTACTGAACAACAGTTAAGTTCTGTTCTCCACAGTGCCTTGCACATCGGATATACCTCATCCAGCTTGACTTGCTGGGTTCTCCACCATCAATAAAGTGCTGCAGCGTCCCATCTTGGTCATATATCTGAGGGAGATGTCACAAGGTCAAGTAGTTAGAACAAATCATCAGCAATCATTTTCACTGCTTTGCTGGTCTCTCTCTGAGCCTTTTCCAGGAATTTATTGCCATGAGACTTGTCGTTGCGTACTGATGCTCTTAGAAATCTACATGGAACAGCAGAAAAGTATTTTGGGTGTTGCAAGTTTATCATGTTTCTTTTATCAAGCCAATCTTTTTGTATTAAACATATTTGTTGTGTCTCAAAGATGTGACCATGTTTCCCAAAGATTATTTAGGCTATTCTGACAGGCTGACCTTAAATAATGAACTGCCAGATAAACAAGAAAATCTGGATGTCTGCATTGAAATGGCTAGAACATCTGAGCAAAGGGCAGTAGTAATCCCTAAACAAGTATCCCTTCCTTCATATCTCAGCTGCATCAAGAGCATGTACCTCACCAACATCATATGATACATTAGGGAGTTGTAGGATTCATAATACCAGAACAAATGAGACAAGAAGGAAAAACAGACTGGAAGATGTCTTTAGAAGCTCCTTTGAGACATATAATTTTTTGAAGTAGTAAACAAGAAATCAGTCCTGCGGGAATCATGGTTTTCCTAAACGTGATATCCTTGCTAAGGACATGAGAGCCAGTTATGGTACTTTTTTCAAAAGATAATATTGTGTCTCTGTTTGGCACAGGATGCACTTTGTGAAGTCACATAAAAACACAGGAATCAGAACCTAGACCTTTACTCCACCACATGAGAGTCTCAAATTCAAAAGCCAGACTTGATTTTTGCTATTGATCAAGAGGGACTGGGAGTAATCATGATCAAATATGTCCATTGCCAGAGCATGAGAGATAGGGAAATGAGATGTATAGAGAGATCCTTATTATTTGTCCCCAAGTGCCTGTGACAAGGACCAGGTGGAGCCTGGCGAGTTGTTCTTGGGAGGGAGAAGCAAGATGCTAACCCAACATGCACAGGGTGCTGGAATAAAGTCAGACAAAGAAGGAGTCTTTAGGAGCAAACACATATCCCAGTTCTGGGGATTTTGTCTATTTTTTATATATGGCAGCTTGTTGATTATCAGCAAGGATCTATTCTCATGTAAACATATTAATGTAATGTTATGAGAAAAATATGCTAAACAATAAAAATCTGTAATGGAGATGGAGAATTTTACAGGAAATAAGCCTACAAAAAGGAAGGGAAGGAAAAATTAATGAGTAACAGTGCTTCACTGGGACCATTTTGGCAATACCTATCCAAACAATCTATTACCTATTCATTTACATGGTACTGACTGACAACAATATATGGCTTAACATAAGGCAAAACCAATTCCTGTAAATAAAGAGCTGATAGCTTCCTAATCCCCAGATAATGTGAAACAGGAAAGACAAACACTGTCATAATCAGTACAGCCAGCCATATCTGGGCACACAGGGACCTATTCAGAGAACTTTGTGTATATGGACAGTCATGAGCTGACATGAGAAATTAAAACCTGCCATGAAAAATGCAGCACTGCAGCTTTCTCAGACCTTGGTCTGGAGAAGGAAGGACTGCTTTACAAGATCAAATATTTTCAAACGCTTTATTCTTGCAAGTACTGATGCATCAGTGACACTATGCTCTCCTTTTCTAGGGGGATATTACTGACATTGTAAATAAATCTGCATAGTCAGAATCCATCCCACAGCACTCTCAGTCCTGTTTTTACAGGAATGAAAACCCATATGTAAGGAAGCAGAAACTCTAACCTTAGAAGGGAAATAGCAACTCTGGATTGTATCTATTTGTCAAATTGCATAATACAGATTAAAATCTGAAAAATCTTAACTGATATGATGGGTTTTATTTATATTATCATGCACCAATTCTTATTCATTTTACAACTGCCTGATTCTGGCAATCACTATATAATTGCCTGAACAAACCATCATGAGGAAGCAAACCATGACCTGCCATAACAGAGAAAAAGGAAACCTGCAGCACAAGTAGTGAACCCAGACATTATAACAGACTATATGGATGTGGATATACATATTCACCTGCATCTGTATTGTACATGCATATGTACTTAAACATTTACAGTGTCTTTAAAAAAAATACTGCAGAATCCTGTGATAAACTGATGTTACTGGAAATCTTTGACTACCTCAGATCACTAAATCCATCTACACTGGAAAAACTTTTAACACATTGCAAGAGCCTCATGGCAAAAAAAAAACCAAGCAACATTTCTGCGACTCCCTGTGGAGAATACATGTGTTTTTTTCTGTATCTTACAACAGTCATTGATCAAAGCAGCATAATCAAAATTAATTATTTCATTTTCCTGTTTTGATTACACTTGAAAGTGTTAACTAAACAGCTCACTAGGTCTTTACCCTCTTCTGACCCGATGTACTTGTTAACTGTTGCTTTTGCTGAGTTTTAAGGGTTATTTTGCTTTTGCTTTAAATATTTCAGAGCTTTAAGATTTCTTTTTTTATGATCTGTTCCAATTTTGAGGAATGCATCGGACTACTGGCAGAGACTGGGGTCTGATAAATGAGGACTGCACTCACCTTCTCATTTGACACGCCTTGTGTTCCTCCTTAGCAGTTCCCATATAATTAATTAACTTAATAGGTTCTTGACTATTTACAGATAGTTTACTGGTAAGTTATCTATCAAGGGACTCAGAACTTGAAGCATATTATTCTACTAATTTCATCATTTGACCTCAGAATGCAACAGAAACAGCTTCATTTTCCGAGAAAGTGCCAAGTCTAACCAGCACAACTTGTCTTCTCTTGCCTATTTTTAAAATTCCTTTCCTTACAAACACCAATTTACTGAGTTAACAAGACATAAATACAGAAAGGCATTAGGTATATGATGAAATTTCTTACAGGGTGCCACTGATATTCCTGATGACCTACACATGCATTCTAACTGGGTAATACAGGAAAAAGCAGGTAGCATGCCAACATACGGATACTGGTCAGGTTCATCTTGTAATGGCATGCAAATATAAATTAAATATGAAGGACTGGATTTATTACTTGTTGGATTGGTTACCAATAATTATTTGGAGGCTGTAGATATTGAAACTTACAATGACAACAGCAACACTTAATGGCAATAATATCATTTCTAAAGCACAGTGTCCCACATAAGTGATGCTATAAAATCTATGAACAACAACTATTAAGTAATATAAACAGCAGTTGCTGGAACATGTGTCACACTGGCAGCATATCAAGTCTGCATAGGACCATGTAAAATCTAAAGTAATACTAACAGATAAGGCAGAGCACTAAAGAGCCTTCTGAGAACTCTCAGTTACTTCAGTGCTGACATGGTCAGTATTGCTCATTTGGATAGATGGGGACAAATGTAATTTCAGTGCTAAAGACTGTTGTTCCAGTTTCTGGTATAGGTACCACAGAATTTTAGAATAAAGGACCCTAAATGTAATAGCAGACATGCAGAGAAATCCAAGCTATGAAATAATTAAAAACAATTTTGCAGATAAGACAAGAAGAGAAAAAATGGTTAGTCCATTGTAGTTCTTTCTTCTCTGTTGCTTTCTTTTGTTCTCTTTCCATAGCCTGCTAAATGATCGTGTCTCTTGAAATTCTGCCTGCATTTTATTTTCCCATTTAGCCAAATAAAAAAGGTATTAGCATACAATTTAATTGACCTTTCATTTTTCTTGCAGGCAGAGGGAGAAAAGACTAGTCCCGAAAGTGGAATTTTTCTTCACATGTACATTTGTATTGTAAAAGTAGCTATCAGAAACATTTTTTTCATGTTGCAAGACATCAAAAGAGACGTGAAGAAAAGCACAAATCATGCAAGAATTAATTCTTACCATTAGTAGAGAATCTTGCTTTTTGCTGTTCACTGCTATTCTCACTGACATCACATGCATAAGGTCATAGTATTTTCAAATCACTCAGCATTAGCCTTCTCCTCTCACAAGTTCTACCCTTGACTTCAGTGGGAAGAGTCAAGATAACAAGGAGTACTTCTGATGAGTATGTACATTTCATAGACCATCAGCCATGCATTTAAAAACCATGGATGTACTCTAAACTACTGTAAGTACAGAGGCAGCGAGACCCACTGCCTTGCACATAATCTTTCTGATGCATCCTAAACCTTGATGTCCAGTTTCCTCCCTAGAGCTCATAGTTCTTCAGCCACTCAAGCCATTTTGTCTGTCCATTTGTTCATTTGAACATTTAGAGAAGAAAGCTACAGGCAAAAAGGCCCAGGATTTGCGTGTCTGCTATGGTCCTTTTTGGAGTGGTTCCACTATTTGATTATTTCTTTTGAAGGAAACTGCCAATTATTTATATTTGGTTTGTTTGTTTGTTATTTGTTTTGCATCATTGTGTTCATCCCCTGACATAAACTTGTGCTTTAAGTAAAGTTCAATACACATATGTTTTGATAGACTGAAGAGTGTGTTCAGTGGCATTACTGGTAGAACAGAGCTCTATGGACATCTTAATAAATGACAAGGAATGTTAGTTCTTCTGTAAAGCAGAAGAAATAGCAGTCACTTTTCTGAAATGCTCTGAGACTTGCATAGGTAAGTGCAAAGTAGAATTCAGTGATTTGACTTGCCTAAGGCAGTAATTGTTAAGCAAAAGGCCAATGGGCTCTAGTGTTTATTATGACATATATACATTATTTATTTGTTAGCATTTCTAATCATGCTAAACTGAAAGCAAACTGGATTGTATGCATGACTAGATAACTTACTCATTTGGATTGGATTCTGTGTAGTACACTGGTGCCTAGTTCCCTTTGAAATCAACACACTGCCAAAGGATTTCATTACTTAGAGAGTCTGAAAAGTTCAGAAGAAAATGCTTCAGGAATTGAAAGAGAAGGAGAAAACTGATTAAATTCTCTGAAGAGATTACATTTCAGAAGTGTAGCTGAAAATCAAACTATAGCAGGATTCATATCTGATGATAACAACTGTTTGGGGAATGAATACTTTTAGACTTTAA